CTTGCTCTGTTGCCCCAGCTAGAGTGCTTTGGCGTCAGTCTAGCTCACAGCAACCTCAAACTCCTGGGCTCAAGCGATCCTCCTGCCTCAGCCTCTAGAGTGGCTGGGACTACAGGCATGCACCACCATGCCCAGCTAATTTTTTATATCTATATATTTTTAGTTGTCCGGATAATTTCTTTCTATTTTTTAGTAGAGATGAGATCTCACTCTTGCTCAGCCTGGTCTGGAACTCCTGACCTCGAGCAATCCACCTGCTTTAGCCTCCCAGAGTGCTAGGATTACAGGCGTGAGCTACCATGCCAGGCCTGTTTTTGTTTTGTTTTTTCTTTTTTGAGTTTTTTTCAAAACTATTTGAAAGAAACTTCAGACATTATGACACTTTACCCTAAGTATTTAAGTACATATTTTCTAAGAGTAAGGACATTCCTATGCAACCTCAATACCATTATCACACCCAAGAAATATAATAGTTATGTAGTAACTATCTAATTTAGATAGTTTGGGTTTCTTTCCTGGCCACAAGGAATGTCCCTGTCTTGGCCTCCCAAAGTGCTGGGATTACAGGTATGAGCCACTGCGCCTGGCCAGGATGTTGCTTTTTTAAAACAGCCCAGGCTAGTTTTTAGAATGCCTCACAACTTGGATTTTTCTGATTGTTTCTCATGGTTACATTCAGGTTAAACACTTTTGGCAGGAATATGATAGGTGATATGCCCGTCTCTGTGTCACACCTGGAGGCCGTAATGTCGTTTTGCCATTATTGACATTATTGGTGAGGTTAAGTTTGATTGCTTGGTAAGGTAGTGTCTGCCAGCTTCCTCCATGGTGAAAGTACCTTTTTCCCCTTGTTATTAGCAAGTCATCTTTGGGCTGGTTTTTTTTTGAGACCTGAGGCGGGCAGTATTGCTTGAGGTCAGGAGTTCAAAACCAGCCTGAGAGGCCGGGCGCGGTGGCGCACGCCTGTAATCCTAGCACTCTGGGAGGCCAAGGTGGGAGTATTGCTCAGGGCCAGGAGTTCAAAACCAGCCTGAGCAAGAGCGAGACCCCGTCTCAACTATAAATAGAAAAGAAATTAATTGGCCAACTAATAATATAAGAAAAAATTAGCTGGACCATGGTGGCGCATGCCTGTAGTCCCAGCTATTCTGAAGGCTGAGGCAGCAGGATTGCTTGAGTCCAGGAGTTTGAGGTTGCTGTGAGCTAGGGCTAGGCTGATGCCAAGGCACTCACTCTAGCCTGGGCAACAAAGCAAGACTCTGTCTTAAAAAAAAAAAAAAAAAACCCAGCCTGAGCAAGAGCGAGACCCCGTCTCCTACTAAATTAGAAAGAAATTAATGCCAATAATAATATAAGGAAAATAATTAGCCGGGCATGGGGTCGCATGCCTGTAGTCCCAGCTACTCCGAAGTTGAGGCAGAGGACGCTTGAGCCCAGGAGTTTGAGGTTGCTGTGAGCCAGGCTGATGCCACAGCACTCACTGTAGCCTGGGCAACAAGTGAGACTCTGTCTCAAAAAAAAAAAAAAAAAAAGGACACGGGAGCCAGTTTGAAGGGGCTAACACCTGCTAAATTTGGGACAATCAAAGTAACAAAAGTAATAATGACAGTAGTATATTATAATGAATTTTAAAAAAACAATTCATGAGTTCCAAGTGACATTATTTTTTAAAAGAGAGGGAAGAAAGAAACAGGAAAAGCTCTTTGCAGAAGAATGCCAGCTATAAACATAGCAATGACATTAAAAATCT